TCTGTTTAATTCATTTCTTGTGCTAGCCTGTTGAGAGTATTTTAAATTTTGATTCTTTTATCTGATAGATTGGGTATCTCAAATTGAATAGGTGCATGTTTTCTTTCCTTGAGTCACAAAATTAGAGAATTTTCTATCTAAAAGGGACCCAAAATATCATATAATTCAGCCTCTTTGTTTAAAGATAAGGAAACTTAGTCCAGAGAATAGCTATGCAACTCTCCCCACCTGTGCAGCTCACTGATGGAAGGAAGATTATGACCTTAAAAAATGAACTGTGAGCAGAGCAGGTCTGTGAACCAAGTGTGAAGACAGTTGTCATCACCAGAAGTCCTTGGTGGGTGCTAGAACATTCAGCAATATACCTGAGGTACAGCTCCCCAACTATAACTGAACACACATTTATCCTCCATTAGATCCCACGGGCACTGACATAACTTGATAAATCTAACAGACTTTAATACTTCAGATAAGAAATAAAGTTGTCTTAGAATGACTTGTTTTTAGTGAACCATACAGCTACTTGTAATAAACTACAACCATTTCTAAGTAATTAGTAAAAAAAAATTTGAATAAGCCAGTCTGTTTTCCAGTTGCTGGTTTCTACAATCCTTTTGAAAAATTAGAACATTCTCCCCCACTTCCATTCTTCTGATATTTCTGTTTTTATTCAATGAAACAAAGTGGGTGTTACATTTAAACATAAACAAAACCAACCGTCTGAAACTTCAAAATGTACCTAAGTAATAATTGAGCCAATGGACTATTTAGAAAATGTGTGGGGAAAACTTTGATGCTATTGCTATAATCAGAGGCAAATATATAGCTTTAAATTCTCTTATTAGGAAAGAGAGGGAATGAATAAGTGAATGAGTGGATGAATGAATGAATAAACCAAGCATTCAACCTTGGGGAACAAAAGCAAGGAAGTAACAAAGAAAATATAAATTAGAGCATAGAGAAAAGTAAGCACAGATAAATCGAAAACTCTTTGACAAAAATATAAACAAGCATGTAACAAAATTTTGTCACAGAAGGAGTGAAATAAACAAAAATCAGACACTTAATATCAGACCTAAAAAATAAATCCTTAGATAGAACAGAAAAAGCCTGGGGTTGTGCCAAAGTTTGGATAACAGGAGAGGAAAATCTCCACTGTTGTGGAGAGTTTTACAGAGGTGCTCATGTGATAATGATTTTAGTTAGGGCTTTTTTGTTTTTGTGTTTGTTTTTTTTAAGCTTTAGAAAAATTTTAGAAGTTGAATGAAAGCAGCTCATGACTCTGGCAGTTAAGGCATTGGAAACACTAGAAGCTCTTTCAGTGGAGTATGCATTAGAAAGCCAGGCTTCCAGAGCTCAAGTGGGTAGGAAGAGGCAACGAGAGCCACCCACTTTTAGAATTTTAGAAACTGATCCAACGGGGCCCAACAGTGAAGCCAGATTGGGTTTTGATACAGGTGTTTTAATGAATCTCGAATCTTAAGAAAAATGCCCCATTGCTACTCTTTTAACCTCCTAAAAGAGTTTGTGCCAAAAGTAGGGTGTTGGCAACAATTTCAAAACAGTCCCTCCTATATGGTACTGTTTTGTTATTTAATAATAGTATTTATTAGATAGTAATAATGAAAGAATTTGATTATACAAAACCAGTTACTCATTAGATTTGCTTCAAGTCTTAACTACTCTTACTATTTATTTCAACACTGTTGACACATTGCACTCCATTGTACTCGATGTCCATCAAGTCTCTGACAACTGCCTTAATTTTCGGCAATTTAACACACATGACTTAATAGTGTACGTCACAGCCAGTAATAATCGTCACAAATTGATGAGGATTTCTTGTAAAGAATGCTGCTACTGATATTTAAGATCTGTGTTAGCTACCTTTGGCCAAAAAAATTGTCATCCTGCAAAACAAACAGACTGTGGATAGGGTGCTTTACCTAGAAGACTATGGTTTACAGTTGTTTATATCTGAAAGATGTAACATCACCTTCAATGGTTGTTTTGAAAAGAAAATGTTCTTCTGGAAGCAATGGATAGCGGATGAGGGGGAAAGTTGGTTGAAAACAAAAAATATTCAAAAAAGGAAAACAGTGTTCATCCCCTTTTAAGAGCTATTTGGATGAAAAATTGCACGGCATGAGCTTGATCTATATGTTTTTTGCGGTTATTAGTAGTAATGAAGATGCATTAACCATATTCTCTTGATAATGCTCTGCAGTTTCTTAGTACTTTTATCAACATATAAATTTTACAACTGGCAGTGTGGGAATTTGACTAGTACATTTTTGTTTATAAAAAAGGGTAACAACATTATAACTTCTTCATATCTGTGAATTATGAATCTTGACTTGCAAACAAGCAAAACTAAAATGCAGTAGAACTTCAGTGTCATGATAGCTCTTCTTCCTACTGCCATGCACAAGAAATGGGAATGTGTGCAAGCTGCTGAGTAGAATACAGTGCCAGAGGTGAATGCCTTACTTAATCCACAATTTATGAGTTCTTTTCATTTCATTCATTCTTTTTTCAATAAACATGGATTGAGTGCCTTCTCTGTGGCAAGCTGTAGTGTCTGTAAATTGAGAATGCTGTACTTCATTAGGAAGCAGCTGGAAACTGGAAGTAAGTGGTGCATAATCACTATATATCCTTATCTCCATTAAGAAACATTATTTTCAATAATTTTTGGAAGGGCATTTAAAGTTCTTTAAAAATAAAACCCGGTGCAAAAAGAATCATTTGAAAAATGATTTTTTCACATTTCATTGAGTTGTAAATGAATAGATCTTTCCCTCATAAAGCTGAATTCCAGGTTTTAAATTTGATTTGTCCTATCTCCAAAGTAATGTAAGTCTCCAATACCTAGCCCATAATATTAGCTAGTACCATTAGAGAAAAACTTTATGAAAGGAAGAAGCACAGTTTTCTTTTTATTATAGAACTATGGATCAGTTCTGTCTTCAAGCTATATCTAGCAGTGCCAAGGATACAGCTGTTATATAAAATGTAGGAGAATTACTACATAAGAACTGCCAGGTAGATCTGAGAGAAGGAAATAATAGTAAAATTTGAGTTAACTCCAATCAAGTAAATGCATCCCTCAAACTTGATTTTCATTTTCCTACTTCTCTTGGGGGAAAAAAAAAAAAAAAGCAAAATGAGAGAAAATTAGCTTCTATTAATGGTTGGGGTAATAAAAATACAAACATTGGTATTGTCCTGGAATTGGACTACCTCCTTCAACTAAAATAATTTATGATCATAACTGGTCTTCAAGATAATATCCCTGAGATACTTCAAGATTATGAATCATCTGGTAGTCATTCAGTAGCTATTCAGTTAACAAATGTTTACTTGGTGTCCTCTGCCGGAGAGTTGTAACACAGATGCTGGCAAACCATGGCAGCCAAGTGAGGAAGTGTAAGTGGAGGAGTGCTTATGGAGTTCGCTGCCACTGAGGGGAGGATAAAATAAGAGTGACCTGTCAGCTGTGCAGCATGGAGATGATTGGGGATGGGGAGGAGAGGTTTCTGAGCAATGGCCAGGAGGCCAGAACCAGATTGTAGTAGGCTTAGGACCAAAGAAGCAGAAGTAACATGTAAGACAGCTTTTTGAAAAAATACATTGTGAGGAGGAGGAAAAGTGGGAACACTAAGTAGAAAGGAGGTTCAAGGGGTCAAGGATAAGTTCAAGTGGGTGTGTGCATATGTGTGCGTGCACAAACTCACAGTCACACATACACACACACACCATGGTTGTATGTTAATGGGAATGACACATAAGGAGAACATGATGATTCAAGAGAGGGAAATGCAGGGGCAACAATTTCAAAAGATCAGAGGATGGGATCCAGACCACAAATAGAGAAGCTGGCCATGGCTAGGAACAGGGACTCATTATGGTAAAGGTAGAAAAACTTAGACTACAGGTAGGTGCCTTTTAACAAATATTTATAAAACATCTGTTATATGCTAGGCAATGGCAATATAGCAGAGAGACAATCCTTGTCTTTGTGAAACTTTTGTTTGAACAGGGATTGGAGGAGATGGACAAATAATAACCAATCAAGTAAAATAGACAGCATGTCAGATGATGCAAGGTGCCACCAAGAAAAGTAGAATGGGGGGGTGGTTACCTAGGTGACTCAGTCAGTTAAGTGTCTGCTTTTGGCTTAGGTCATGATCCTGGGGTCCTAGGACAGAGCCCTGCATCAGGCTCTCTGCTCAGCAGGGTTTCTGCTTTTCCCTCCCCATTCTCCCTTCCCCCCCGACCCTGCTTGTGCTCTTTCTCTCTTTCAAATAAATAAGGGAAAAAAAAAAAAAAAAGTAAAGCAGGGCAGTGGAGAAGGAAAATTTGGACAGCCAGGGCTGGTCCGGGTGGTGAAGGTGGATTACAATTCTCAGGTAGTAGGCAATTCTATATAACTCTTACTGAATTTATTTTGTGACTCTCAGACACATTTATTTTTCAAAGTCAGATTAAATGTGGCCCAATACCCACACGTCAGGGCTTGTGGGAAGTCTGCTATCCACTTTGTTTCATAGGTGCTACGTTCTGTGAGTACCCCAAGGCTTGCCCAGCCCTGTACCTCTTCTTTAGAGCCCTCATCACAGGTTTTAATCTTACTTTATTAATGCAATTATATATTTCTCCCCTTCTAGACTGGAAACTCCAAGAGGGGAACTATGTCCTAGACGATTGTATCCCCAGAACCTAGCACAGTGTTAACACAACATAGGTCCCATTTGTTGAATGAATGAATGAATGAATGAGTGAATGAAAAGTTCAAAGACCTTTTTCCATACACCACCTCTTGAAGAATCTTATTGTATTATTATTCTGTGATCACTTAAGTTCTTACTTCTTATAGCTGATCTAGTAAATGGCCTTTTTCAAAGCAGTTAAAATACCTTTATACCAATGGAATATGTGAAATAGGGTTGTTCTCTAACTTAAGTGATGTTTCTCCACCTATTTTTTTTTTTTTACAGGACCAATGCCAAAGGTGCTCCCCTGAATATAAATAAAGTCTCTAATAGCCTGATCAATTTTGGAAGAAAGTTGATTTCTCCAGCAATGACTGCCCCAGGCAGTGCGGGTGGCCCTGTACCAGCAGGTGGTAGTGGCAGCTCTTCCGCTGCTGTGGTTCCCGCCAGGACCTTAGCAGAGGTCCCCAGGCAACATTTGCAGCAGCAGCAGCAGCAGCAGCAGCAGCAGCAGCAGCAGCGACTGATGAAATCGGAGAGCATGCCTGTGCACTTGAACAAAGGTAAGGAAAAAATACCGATAAATCTGAAGAAAACACTTGCAATGTAGCCTGGGATTTCCTCACCTGCCTATGAGGAACCACCCTCCTAGAAATAGAAATTAATACAATATTTAATTGTAAAAAATCAATTGTATTAGATCCTTTTTAAGTTGCAGTATCAGATACCATATTGTTCTTAACAGGAGCACGTTATGAGGTGGTTTGTTAAGGTATTTCTTTCACATGCGTGTCCTCTATGCTTAGGACTATACTGTATACTCCTGAGTCCCATGGATGCCCGCAGGTTGTAGCATGAACTGTCACAACGCAGAACTTGAAAGCGGTCCACTCTGATCCTGCTAACATTGTGTCCTGGTGCTCCTGGCTGAAGGAGAGAATGGGAAACGGGAAGTTCCAACAGTCAGTAACATTCCTCCATGCGGTTGGTACTGGCGGAAGCGTGGGGCTCGCAGCCAGGCATCGAGCTGCTTTACCCCTGAGGAAGACCAGCCAGACCCTTAACAGGGGGAGCAAAGCTAAACAGAACCGCAAGCAGCCCGAGTGAGTGAGTCCACACACCAGGACTTAGGGCCGTGTAATGTCAGAGCAGAGCAAACTCGGGAGACCACGTCATCCCGAGCTGCCCTCCGATGAGCTGGGGCACCGCTGGTGTGGGAGAGAGTGGCCCCGGCCTCGCGCAAGTGCATTTTCTGTGTCATGGCTTTTCTGTGCATCATCTCCTGTGTGAACTTTACTTATAAGACAGCCCTTCAGGTTCTTACTGAGAACCTGTGTGTTCTTATCTTCCACGATTTACAGAGAGCTCTGTATTAAGTACCTCTATTCATAGCAGATTAGAAACAGCTGCATTTATTTTTAGTGGCGGGACTCTGCTATCTATGCTATATAGAAGCAGGAAATAGGAACATGATGGCAGAATATCTACAAAATTCAGCCCTGAGACCTCACAAAGGACAGAGTCTGTGGCCATTTAGTGTCAGGACCAATATCCTGAGCCATGCCTCATTCACATCTTAAAGGGTTCCCTTGTTCGGGAGCCATGTGCAGGAGCTGGTTTTGAGAACAATCGTGTACCCTTGGATCAGTACGAAGACCTTAAGCCACGTTCCATATACTCTGCTTAAGAAGATTCATCCAAAATTATTAAAAATCTTAAATTGTTGACATTTCCACTGGTAAACTTAAATGGATTTTATTCCCCAATGGCACGAAATAATGAGTATTATTCAATAATGAGTATATGTTTATTCTCCCATTACCTGGTGTTATCTGTCATTGCCTAGATGAAGTATTAGACTCTACATAGTTAGTTTCTATTAGAATATTCCGGTTGCCTTGCATAAGATTATCTCGTTTAAAACTACATTCTTTTCTTCTTAATGTAGAGTTATCACACATGATTTAAAGAAAAGAGGACATCAGATCATTAACACATTGTAAATGTATTTTAATGCCAGGAGACATGCCCACTTTCAGAATGGAAATGAATGTTATTTTATATATTTCTTAATTGTACTGTTTTATTGTTCTAACCAAATATGATTTCAGTATTGCTTTGATAACAAGCCATAGTCAGTAGTAATTCTAACTGATGGCAGGCAAATGAGTCAGAGAATCTCTTAATGCTGTAGCTTAAATTTTCTGAGGAACCAAGCCAAATGACTGTAGAAGTATAAAGTTGTATCTCTAAGGAAATGTCAAGTATTAATATCACAGTAAGTGAGAAAGGAAGTGCATGAGGATGGAACAATTGATGAAAACGAAGTCCCCAGTTGTAAGGAGACAGCAGAGCACTTAAGCAAAGTATTTGGAACATGAGTATCGCTAGGGCATTTTGTAACTGATCCCTGTGCTGAGAGAGAGTCTCCTTGTTTGGCAGCTCTTTTTATCTCTCTTTCTTCTCATGTCAATCATGAAAAGCTTGTCTACCTTCATCTCAAAGATAAATATTCCTGCTACTGCCCCTCCCTGCATAAAGGTGTGAATGAAACAGTAAAACACAGAGAGAGCAGTTGATGCCCGTAGAAGCCAGTGGAGGTCTCATTGACTCACCCGTGAAATGAACTGTAAGCACAGTCCTAAAGCCTTCTGACCGCTTGCTTCCACATCCTGAAGTGAGAGGTTGGGACTGCTCCCCGGGGGAGCCTCCCGGCTCCAAACAGCTATCAAGATGTATTTGTTAACTTCCTCTACAAGGAAAAGTACTTCTCCAGCATTGGTTCTTTACACTGGTGTTTCTCACAAGTATCCTGCTGTGCTGTGACAGTGACAAGTCTGCAGGTGTGTCCCCTGATCCCAGAGATGGTGAGCACAGTCTGCACCAGGAGGCTTGTGTTGGAATAAGGCTTCAAACTATCTCAGAACGGTCTTCTACTTGGTGCTTTTGAGGAGCGGGAACGAATTAGCCCTTTTAGGGTACTCTGCTGGAGAATTTGAAATTTGCTTTGAAAAATGGTTGTTTCTAAAAATGAAAATGCTTACAGTCTTCATAGGTTAGTTAACTCTTGATGATTTGTGCTTATGTAGGGGAACGGTTGTATAGAAAACCCAAAATTCACGTATATTTTGCTGGAAATGCAAACTACTTTGAATATGCATTGGGAGCAGGGTCGTGAAAGAAAGAAGAGGGAGCACAAATGTTCCTCCATAACTTTCTGGTGGTATTTAATATTAAAATGAGTTTTCAGCCTCTAATATATATACGCTAATAGGTGATCCAAAAGCAGCAGAGAAAAATGAGTAGCAAGCATAGAATTGAAAATCTCCTCAAATAGATAGAAAATAAACACTCCATTTATCAGTGAACAGAGAGTTAACTATGTTATGAAAATTCAGGACCTGATAAATTCTGCTAAAAGCTGCTTATTGCTGTTTCGAGTGTTTACCTATTTATAGATTTTATTTCAGTTACAGGAGATAAAGATAGATATATATATCTCAAAATGTATGTACTGTTAATTGATGGGGATGATATGATTACAACCCAGTAATTTCCAGATAAGCTGTCTGTGCTGTCAGTTACAATTGTAGTAAGTAGTCAAGGCACTGAGGGTATGTTACATAATTCAAAAATTGATTTTTTTACTGTTGTATAAAAGCTACAGGGGAAGAAAGTCTGTTAGTCCTACATTATCAAACATGGAAAATCCAGTGTCTTTTAAGAAGGCTTGGTTTTTAGTTCATTAACTTCAACATAGCTTAGGCCTTCAGATGCCGAGAGGCTGATACTGTTGACAGTGACTGTGCCTAGTGTTGAACTTGGTCATCCAGGGAGGATGTCAGAGAACCACAGAGTCTTCCTTCTCAATGGGAGTATACCTCAGGTTCTTCACAGAAGTACCTCTTGTGCTCGTTTTCCTTTCTTTCCTGTACTTTCTCCCCATTTCCTTTGAAGTCAAACACTTCTTTATTTTGAGCATTTCCCATAGGTCCAATTTGTGAATGAAATCTTGCCTATAATAAGTATATCAAGTTTAAAGGCTGTGCAGTTCACAGATTTATTTTTACATGTTGACATTTTAAGTACATGTGGTAACTTATGAAATCTTTTCAATACTTACTATGAAATTAGAGCTTGTTTAGGTATTTATCATATCACTGAAGAAATTGGATTCAAGTTTAGTTAAAAATAATTTCTGTTACAGGAGGAAATCAGCTTCAAAAGAATGCCTACTTCTTAATAAATGTATATAACTTACTTTTGGATTAAGAAATTTTTTTTAATTAAGAAAGTATTATATCACACTACTATTTCTAGCTTAATGAAATTTCAGCAAAATCTTTTGATCATTCAAGTTTTCCTCTGCTTTAGACTAGGGGCAATTTGTTGTTGTTGTTGTTGTTGTTTTTCTTGAACAAAAACATGCACAGAAGCTTTTCAGGGAACACTTTAAAAATTATTGCCTTTAAAAATACTTTATATTAATTTTTCTGAAATTGTATTTTGTTTTACTGTACTTTTAGTAACTAGATTGATATAAAAGTATTATGAAAAAAAGTAAAGTTTATTTTTTTTTCCTTTTTATGAAATCTAATTATTTTTTCTTATGAAATCCAGGCGATGTAGTTACAGGAAGCGATGCTCAGGTTTCTGTTCCTGTCCAGACTCTAACTGACCTCCAAGGTACAGTTACCATGGCAACATAGTATATCTCTTTGCCCTCAGTCTTATCATTGCCTACTCCAAAATTCCATTTTTCTTTTTGCCCACCCTCCATTCATACTGTTGATCAGTTCACTACCATTGTTCAGCCACTGAGTGGCACTGTTGTTCAGAACAAAAGTCCCCTCTCCTGTCATACCTTGGTGATGCCAAATCTGGCTGTGTGTGGGTTTTCTATGAAGTTTGCACCGGCCTTTTTTCTTGCAAAATATGGTCACTCTATATTTTGTGGTTATTTTAACACTATGCTTCATTTGGAAGGTCACAGTAAGGTGTTCTTTTTGTTGCATAGGTGCCTTGTGCAAGCATTTAACAGATCATTTCTGAGAGTAAATGACTTATATGATGTTGGATGCATATTTTTACATGTATTAGCCAGAAATACTGTGTTTTACCTGAAAGAATTATAACTCAACTTTGAAATAATTGTTTAAGTACAGGCTTTGTATCATAAATCTTATTAACAGAATCAAAATCCAGTGTGACAAATCTCTGTGTAGTAACTGGCAATGATTTAAAATAAAAAGAGCACATTTAAATATCATAGCCCTTTGTTCAAAATCTAGAAAAAGGGGTTTTTTTCAGGAATACAACATAACAGTAATTTACATTTAGCTCCTCCAGTGGAATATTTAAATGTGTAAATATTGAAATTATTGCATTAATCTTTTTATTAAATCATCTTTTAGATAAAATATGCTATAAAAAGGATTTCTGTATTAAGGGAAAGCCTAGACTAACTTTTAAGAATCTCCCATTCAGGGGTGCGTAGGTGGCTCAAGTCATGATCATGGGAGGTCCTGGCCCTGGGATCAAGCCCCACTTCAGGCTCCCTGCTCAGCAGGAAGTCTGCTTCTCCCACTCCCCTTGCCCCTCCCCCTGCTCAAACAAATTCAAAAATCTTAAAAAAAATAAATCTGAGCACCTCCCCCCCACCAGCTGGCAACTTTTTAACAAGTGTTTTGATATCCCAAAGTTAGTTTGCTAACTTTTTAAAGTTAGTTTACTGAAAAGTAGATCTTTTGCTGTGGAATCTCAATTTATACCTATGGAAAGAGAGTTAAAGGTTGTCCAACTTTTGTGTCTATGCTATTGCTCCGTCCATTTTTACCTACAGACCCACAGCAACAGTTTGCTTTTTGAATAGCATCCTAAAGAGGGGGGTTATATCATTTTGTTCAGATCGTTTGTGTCATAGAGGTAGAATCATCTTACTCATTTATTCAGCAAGTATTTGCTCAGTGCTTACTGTGTGCCAAGCTCTGTTCTCACTGTCTCTTGGCTTTCCCTATGGCTTTACCGGGTTGCTTGGGCATCAGCCTGTGCGTTAGATGACGCAGGCAAGCGGCCGCAGTCAGGAACCAGCTCTTTTTCTGGATACCCAGTTCAGAATTCCTCCTGCGTGCCGTGCTCTGACAGAGACTGTGTCAGCCTGGTAGGGGAGGCCCCAGCTGCTTTGTGAGATATGAAGCCCAAAGAAAAAGCTTTCAGTCTGTGATGACGATTGTGACAACAATGGTAAGAAAATGAGACAATGCCAACCCTGATTTGGAGAAGTCACCTTGTGTGTTCCTCAACACACTTCCTGCAGAGTGTCAAAAAGCAAGGGGAAGTAGAAGCCAACCAAAATAGTGGTAGCAACAAAAAACTTTCTAACAATCTAGGCTTAATAGGATCAGTAATAAGAGAAGTTGGAGAGCTTCGTCAGAGATACCATGCCTGTTATAGTCTCCTATATAATATTTTAAGAGTAGATACACCTACAAGGGAAATAAAACGATCATTTAGACTTTCCCAAGTATCTTTTTTCAAAGTAATGGAGTATATTCAAGAAATGAAGTAAATATTAACACTTCCAGTGATTCTTTGATTGTATGTTTCATGAGATTTTATATTTGTATCTTTGCCTTTAAACCATGATTGCGTGGGCTTTCTTATGTTTTTGAAGAAAAACACTGACTATAAAATGAATTCCCATAATTTAAGTCAATAAATAGTGTTTGCAAAACTTTTGGAAAGTTCCATTTTACATCTCTCAGTGCAGGTTGTATCAAAATATGTACCATGGGAGAATTTGTTTGTCAAGACTTAACTCAAAGAGCTTACTGAAAATTATTTTTGGAAATTGCCTAGCTACCCATAGAAACTTTTTTCAAGAGATATTTAGACCTCATTCCATTTTTCTTCAACTTGAGGTCACATGGGCCACAGCCTACCTGGCATAGCCCTTACCAGGGGAGGAGGGGGTGCAGCTTTCCCCACCATGGGCTCTGGAGTTGGGTCTGGGTTTGAATTCTGCCTCTGTCACTGCCTTCCTGGATGACTTAGGGAAGTTACACACCCTCTTATCTGGGAAGAAAAAAAAAAGAGCAGCTGGTTCAGGGCAAATCATTAGAAGTTTCCACAGCCCCTGTCCCCCCATAAGGACTCAAAAGTGCTCTCTGCTCGGGTAGTGGTGATAAGGGTGGCACTAGTAGGTGTTTGTTGTTGATGTTGTTGTTTTCCAACTACCTCTGGTTTTCAGAATCAAATAATGAAACAGTCAACTCAACACCCCTGTCTTTCCTTTTCTTAATCATTACTCCTGATATCCTATAACCACATGTTTGCATGTGGGCACATCCAGCAGTGCTTAGACTAGACTGTGGTCAACTAGAGCAGGTCTGCTGCAGGGGCTCCAGGTGCAACCTGCTTCCGCTCACTGTCCTGTGACACTACAATGTGTGTTTTTAATGTGTAAACATCAGTCGTCTTGCTGTCTGTCATTCAAGTCTGTGAGGTAACAAAATGTCACCAGATAGGAGCCAGACGTATCTCATTCCCTCCTGGGTCCCTTGAGTAAAGTCAAGGTGATCCCCTTTCCGTGGCCACAGCAGTGGGCTTCCCAGGTCTTTCCCTTTTGGCTCTTCTGAGCTATGCCCTCCCACCAAAGACCCCCAGGCTTCCTAGCCATGTGAACATTTTGCCATTGGGTGTCCCGTGTCCAGTTCCTCCGGCTGGTCTCCAGTTTACAGGGGTTCTGCCTGTCCATGTAGGAATACCACCTCCCCTCCCAGTGCCAGCACTTACTTCCCCTGGAGTTTCATGAGAGCAAAATCACAAAAACATGATGGTGCTCAAGAAATATTTTCTCCATTTCCCCCTTTTGTCCCTCCCAGCCGTTCTGTAGTGAGGGCTCTTCATGAGGCCTGGGACGCTCATTCAGTCAGCTTGGGCTCTTGACAAGGACCTCCACTGACACATAGCACTTAGGACACAAAACTTTCATTGGATGTTTCAGAGAGGAAAAGAAGACGCAAGATTTAATATACCTAGACACATCCATACTGAGTCCAAATGGCACCTCTGTGCACTTCAGAAAAAGCTCCCGCTTCCATGCAGGGGCAGCTCATGCCAGGACACGCATCTTCACAGGCGGAACCCTAGAGCAGGTCCTGGACGCCTGCCATCCTGCTAGGCAGTCTCGTGTGTGTGGCCTGTTTGGTCATCATGTGCTTAGAGCTGGTTCACTGAAGTCTGTGGGAGGAGCAGCCAACATAAGAATGGTCCTAAGAGGGAGGAGGACCAGCAAATCTGCAACCCGCAGTACCGCATGTTAGATGCCCTGCTCTAGATTTGGGAGTCACCGCTGTGCTACTCACGGTTTATGTGTGCCTCATTATCTGAAGTGCTCAGCCACACTGAGCCTTTCATGCCTGTTACCCACTCGGGGTACAAGGCCTGTAAGAAGTAGACGTCTCACTTACAGATGAGAACCGTAGCTGATGGAGGCTCAGTGAATTGTTCAGGGCCCCAGGGCTAGGTAGCCACTGGGCTTAGACTCAAGCTTAGGTGTATCAGACCCAGCAGGTACCAGTTTGAGGAATTCTGCCTTGTAAACAGCCTTAGGTTCAGCCCTTATAATCTCTTGTGTGGGCAGGTACAGGAGATTACCTTACTCAACCAAGCTCCTGTAATTCTCGTGCTTCTTTCCTCCTTCAAATCTGTAGTGACTCCCATCATCTGCTGATAAACCTGAGAACAAAGTGCAGTCATTGAGCTCCCTGGCCCTCTTTAGAGCCTCCTCTTCCCTCTCGCCCTTCTCTCCCTAGGGCTGGATGACCAAGAGGGAAAATAAACTCGCATGTAGGGTACCAGCAACTTCTAGAAAGGATTTATTTGATTCTTCTTGCCCCAGAAAACCAGTGAAATAATTATCAAATGAAAAAGAAGCACTCGGGGACCCTGGGTGGCTCAGTGGGTTAAAGCCTCTGCCTTTTGCTCAGGTCATGATCTCAGGGTCCTGGGATCAAGCCCTGTATCAGGCTCTACACTCAGCAGGGAGCCTGCTTCCTCCTCTCTCTGCCTGCCTTTCTGCCTACTTGTGATCTCTGACTGTCAAATAAATAAATAAAATCTTTAAAAAAAAAAAAAAGGAAGCACTCTGTGGGACACTAGTATTGGTGTCATTTTCAATTATATATGGATGGCAGGAAGCTCCAACGGGTTTGGTCAGGCTCTGCCAGAGCTAGATGCTCCCAGTAGTATTTACCAGTTGCCTTGATAAATACTGTGTTCTCTGCCAAAAATGACCCTTCCTGAGCCACTGCCTCCACCCCCACTCCTACCACCACCACCTGCTCTTCAGGCTTTAAGATGGCACGCATACCTCTCATGGCCTGAGACGGGCCAGAGGCTCCCTCTTCTGTGCTTCCAGAGTCCCGTTGTTTACACCCGTGTTTGCTTTTATTACCTGGGATTGCAGGCTCGTTAGTGTGCATACCAGTCTGTATTTCCCTTGCACTGCTATTTTTAGGAGCCCTTAAGAGCTCCTGTTGCAGTCATCCCTCATCCTTAGTGCTCAGCAGAGTTTCTATAGGCATTTCATAAGCTCCATCTGCATGGGGCTTGTCCCCTGGTGTTTGGTTATGAGTGACAGAATATGTGCGTGCCGGTGGTGGCCTAAGAATTTGGTCTTTATTTAGTATATTTAAAAATGCCTGCAATCTAAAATAATTCTCAATAATTGTCATGAGTCAGGATTTCTGAGAAATAAACTGTGAGACAAAGATTTATGGGCAGGAAGCTTTGGGGGAGGGGGCCGTGTGTGCCGTCCAGGTCAGCATCTGGGGAGTGAAAGGAGCAGTGTCGAGCTGAGGGAGGAGTTGAGCTGCTTTGCAAAGCTGGAACTTCTGGGGCTGGGCTGGCCCTTTGGAGTCACCCATCTTGAGGCAAGAAGGCCAGCCTTTATCCTCTTCCCCCAACCAGTCACTAGATTGGAGCTAATCCCCTGGGGAAGGGATAAGACCTTAGAGAGAGCAACCCTCTTTAGCTAAGGGCTGTTTCCAAAGAGAAATTCCTAAGAACCATCATTAGCCAACACTCCCAGTGGCTGGGAGAAGAAATGCCTTGGCCCTGAGGGGGGAACTTGGGCAGGGCACCACAGCAATATATTGAAGAACATGCCTCTGACAATAGGCTTTCCGTTTTAATGCAACAAAGAAATGATTAATGTTATTCCTATTGGTTAAAAACTTTAAAAGGTTTATAGAGAGCTTCAGAACCACTGCACAGCTTCCAGGCTACAAGCTTATTAAGAATACTGACTGCTCACCTCAGGAGCTGTCCAGGGGAGGCCTGGGCCATGGACTGTCTCATCCATTTGCCCAGTGTGCCATACCAGTGTTGTCCCCTTCTGTGTGTAGAAGGCATGGAAAGGCAGGAAAGTCTGATAGTCCTTTCTTCTGTCTCAAAGCAAGACGCCTCCTGGTGCCTAGGCTTTTCCTTCAGATGTCCAGATGGAAGACCCCCTCATTTCCTTGGGGGACATGTTCTGGTGACTCCATTTTCTTAAGGTCTCAATGTTTGGGGTTCCCAAAGAGAACAAAAATGTTAGTAAACTAGTTCTGTAATTGAGGGGGGAAAATGTATTTGGAGCAGGGATTTTCTGTAAGATGTAGGCCAATCAAAACCTTTCCAATACTACCTCTAATTTGGGACTTGATAATTCAGAGATAGATTCTGATAGGAGCTGAACTTAGTGTTATCTCTGAAAAGGTCATTTGCTAAAGCAAACTAACAGATGATGGGGTCACAGATGCACCCACTCTGATGTAAGAATCAGCCTAGAGAGAGGCCCTGTGACCCAGCACCTTGTCCCATTTTTCAGATGCTTCTCCCATAGCTGGAGGGGAGCCATGTATCTGTTGCACAGTTAGTGAAAAGGAAAGACGCTCTTTCAAAAAACTGCTGAAGGATTTAGATTTTTAATATTAATGGTATAAAGTACAATATAATAATTTCTGATTTCTGTCCCTAAGGATGATTCCTTTAGTGAGGGGAAATCCATCTCTCTAACCTGCGATGGCTAAAAATTAGAACTTTTCGATTTTCTGTATGTGACTATGGTAGCGTAAATTACATGTGGAAAAGTATAGCGGTACTTCATGTTTTTAAAAACTGGCAGCTCTTCTGATACATAAAAATGCATGCATTTTAATAACTCCACAGTGTCCTTGACAGTGTGAACAAAGAAGTATAATAATTGATCCTTTATTAAAGACAGTGACTAATGTAACTTAGTGAAAAAGTCTAGTGTTTCATTATTGCCTCTTAATTTTTCCTACAGGACAAAGTTCTAAAACCATCAGTTCATCCCCAAGCACGGAAAGTTTGCCTGGAGGAAGAGAATTCACTGGCTCCCCACCTTCATCTGCTACTAAAAAGGATTCCTTTTTTAGCAACATCTCGCGTTCCCGCTCACACAGCAAAACTATGGGCAGAAAAGAATCTGTAAGTATTTAAGGACACTTTTTCTTTTATCCTTCATCTTCCTCTAGAGTACTGCATTTGTTAAAACCTCTTTAGTACTGAGTTTTATAAAGGTCTTAACGTGTCAATGAATTAAAACAATTTCATCAAAATATTTTACTTTTATTATTATAAGTTAATAATAGTTTAAGGCCAGTCTGCATCGCACTGGGATAAAAAAGCAGCATCAGTTTAAAATGAGTTGAATTCCAGATCTCCATCCTTTCTTCCTCTGCAAATGCTTTTTTGTCAAACTTGTGTTTTTTTTCTAAATTGTAGCAAGTAACATTATACCAAATAATAGATTAAGACCTATATAAAACAAACCACAGTGTTTTTTCAGTTTTATTTTACTTCTTGAAAAGTAATTTTTTTACCATTTGCTTTAAAAAGTTTTATGCAAATTACTTTTAAATGGTGGTAAACTGATAGCTGCTTTCTAAGGTCCTCCATAAGGAGGGCACTTGTGAGGAGCACGGAGTGATGAATGGAAGTGCTGAATCACGGTATCACACCTGAAACTTAACACAACACTGTGTGCTAATCGTACCGGAATTAAAACAGAAGAAAAAAAAAAGCAAGAGGATTCCATTTCCCACTCTGGTAGAAGACTGGAGGTTGACTCCTCTGGAAAGTATAAAACAGAATGTCTCTGTACTGAGCGAGGTCAGGCACATTTGAGTACGCTGTACCAGAAGAGGAATGATGAATACATTTAAATACTGAATCTGAGATCCCCAGGCTTAACCCCACTTGCTTCCCAGAATACCATTACGTCTGTCCCTTCAGGGAAGAAATGAAAAGAGTTTTTCCTAGATAAAAGTTATAAATATTTAAAAACACAAAATGTGCTGACATTAGGTGTTCTCCAGGGAAACAGCCAGTTCACGTTAGAGTAAACCTACCCTGCACAACTCTGTCCACACACGGAACTTTCTCTTAGCTTTTAGTTCACACTGCTTTACATGAGTAAGACAGCCAGGGATCACCAGATACTTGAAGAGAGCATCTGTTAGTTAAAGCCCGCCAAAAGCAAATAGAAAAAAACTAACTGGGAGAAAACAGTTTATATAGGGGAAGAAAGGTTCAGGGGAAAAAAAAAGAAAACATTTATTCAGAGAACAACAACAAAAGCTATTAGAAATTAAAATATGATATCTGGAATGTAAAGCTTAGTAGAAGAGTTGGAATTGATAAAATTGAGGAACTGTCCCCAAGAAAACAAAATACAAGGCAGAAATGGAAAGTAATGGAGACAAATAGAAGAAAATTAGAGAACCATCCTAAGACGCTCAAAACCTGAAAAGTAGACGTTCCAGAAAGAGAGAACAGAGAAAATGAAAGAAAGGACATAATCAAAAATACAATTAATTAAATGTTCCACTAATGAAAGTCCTGAGTTTTCAGATTGAAAAAGTCCTAGAAAGTCCTACACAAGTAGAAATAAACCCACACCCAGATACATCACTATGAAAGGTAGGAACTCTGAGAGCAAAGAGATATCCTCCAAATTTGTAGAGTTGAGGGAAAAGAAAGATTTTCATCAAAGGATCAGGAATTAAAATAGCTAAAAATCGCTCATAGGAACACCAGAAGCAAGGCAGTGAGGAATACCTTTAAAGTTCTTTTTTTTTTTTTTTAAGATTTTATTTGTTTGACAGAGAGAAACCACAAGTAGGCAGAGGGTGGGGGGGAAGCAGGCTCCCCGCTGAGCAGAGAGCCTGATGCGGGACTCAGTCCCATGACCCTGAGATCATGACCTGAGCCGAAGGCAGAGGCTTAACCCACTGAGCCACCCAGGTGCCCCTAAAGTTCTAAGAGAAAATTACTTACGTCTTTGATTCACTACCTGGTCAAATAATTAAGTGTGAGATTAGAATTAAGCCACTTTCAGATATTCAGGATTCAAAAATGTTTTTCCCATGCCCCCATTCTCAGAATCCACTGGAGGATGTGGTCTACGAAAATAAGGACATACACTAAGGATGGGCAATACCTGAGAACAAGGAAATAGAGTATCCAGAGCAAGACAAAAAGATTCTCCAGAATGATAATATGGGGAGATTCCAAAACTAAATAGAGCACAGCTGTTTAGCAGGTCTAGAGAGCAGCAGGCCAGCCCAAGTTGGAGCAAGGCAGAAGGTTCTAGAAAGTTTTCTCCAAAAAGATGCTATTTGGAGAACAAGTAATATATTTGAACAAGTTAAGAGATTTAAACTAGGGGTGAGTTTGGGTTTGAATTAATGATAACTTTATAGAATCTAAGCCATTGAAACACAGGATAGTTTATAACTCCAAAGAAAAAACAGAGTATCAGAGAAGGGAAGAAAGATTATGATAAGCCTTATAACTGAGCCCTGACTAGAATTTACATAGACATTATAATGAAAGCCTATTAACTGTTAATCTAATCAAAATCATGGTCGGGTGGGGGGCATCATGGTGAGGATGACTCAGGTAGCTGAGCATCCAGCTCTTGGTTTCCGCTCAGGCCATGATCTCTTGGTCGTAGGATCGAGCCCCTTGCCAGGCTCGGCACTCAGCAGAGAGTCTGTTTCAGATTCTCTGTCTCTCAAATAAATGAATAAATAAAATCTCTTTTAAAAAAAATCATGATAAAATTATTTGGAGAAGGTTGGGTGTGGGAACTGTGTGTTTGCATGGGGAAGGGGGTGAGCGGGTGGTAGTGGCCAATAAACCTAAACCTTTATCTTCCACAGTGAAAATTAAGTGTAGTTGTCTCTAGAAGAAGTAAAGAGGGAGCACTATAAGCTAGAGATAGTGAGATGAAAAAAAAAATGCGTGAAAGTATTAAAAGTGGTTCCTTCTGGAGAGCAGGAAGTAGAGGGCGGGGCTGTGTGAAGTGTTTTTCATAACAGGCCTTATAGAACCATTTGACTCTTCAAAGGGCTATATATATAACATAGATTAAAAATAATAACTAAAAATCACAACAAAAACAGAATGTAATAAATTAGAAGAGATGTCTGCCTGTACAAAGAATATGTCTAGGAAAAACCAGAGTAAGGAATAACAAATGAAAAAGGCATATGGAGACCTGTTTCATTTGCATTCTATCATGTTTTGGCGGCATATGGATTAGTCTACAACACCAATTAATTACTTTTCTTTATGGTGATAACTGTAACTTAAAACTGAGAAGTCAGGCGAAAATAGAAATAAAATAGAAACAGAGTTAAGTCGAACTCTCTATGTAGACCTGTTATATACCAAGAAATGGAATTAAAATTATTAAATTATTATTAAAATTATTATTCAAAATTTAATATATTCTCTAACTGTGGGAAGTAAGTAGGCAGAAATTTTCAAGAGAAAGTCCTTGGTTTTTCAATAGGTCATCTGATGATTTTATGAAATAACATGGTCCGTGTTCTTTGCTAGGTAATCCCAGTTCTCCCCCATTCTAAGGCACTTGGTACAGTTGCACCTCCTTATCTCCCATGAGCTGTCAGAGCCACTGGACTAGTTCTATCCAGTGATTGTAAGGGCAAGTGATGTGTATGTATTACCACTACGAGATCTTCCTCACCTCTCCCTTTCTCTCTGCCAACGCATGGTAGACAACGAAGTATGAGTGAAAAATAGCCTGTATTGATTTATGCTGAGATTGTTGCTTAGCACAGCCTAATGGTACACAGCTGGAAAATGTTCAGCTGGGAACCATTCTCCCATGGGAGCCACAGACTACCATTGCCACTGCCACCTCGGTCACACCGGAGTCCATGACTGGGCCCCTATCATCCCTGGGCCTGTCTTGCTTTCATTTTCAGCCCAGTTTGCTGTGATACAGGGACATTCCATGTCTTCAAAAAAAGTTCAAGATTGTTTTTCATTAACCATGATCATCAGTTTCTCACATAAGCAAGTACCAGAAATTGAAGCAAAGATACCTCTTGTTTTGGATCCCCAGGGCCTTAAATTTTATGTACCTTGCGGATTTCAAGATTCCATTGATCTTTTAAAGTGGCCCAAGATCAAGAAGGTGTTAACGTCAGTTAGCAAAGGTTAAAATAGCAGTGGAAAATAGACATGAAAACAAAACAATCTGGTAGCAGCTGTCAACCTAAGTGTGGCAAAGTCTGCTTACAAGTGTGGTTCTAATCATTGAGAAATGATTTTCAAAATCACTGTGTGTGACATATTTTGGACAAGCATCATATTTTAGGTCATAAACTTGTTTCCTCTCAATATCATCTTTTTTTTGTATCATAGAAAGCCTTTCTATAATCCGCAGACTGCCTCCTTTAGATGAAGATATATCATATTTCTTCCTATCAATGCCCCTGCTTTGGCCATATATTAGAATACAAAACTCAGCTAAGTCTTTAAAGAGGTAACACATTAAGCTTTGTGCCATACGTTTATGAAAGATGTCACTCTACTTCCTCTCCGAAATGTGAGCAAACTAGTGGGAAGTTTTAAAAATTGACCTTTACTTCACTGTCTGTAGTAGTGTTGTTTTGAGGGTTAGTATTTATCCACGAAGTTTTCCCTCTGCTTTGTTTCCCAAAAGAGCCATTAGGGCCCACCTAATTCAAACCCTGGTTTCCGTCAAGTGCTCATTTTTTAGTCTTGAAAACAAAATTGAGAATTTTGATACTTTTAATTTTTCATATTTTATTTTTCATGATAATGTAGATGACATCCAACACTTAGTTTTCTAGAAATCTATTTTAGTTGGTCATTCATCTGACTGTTAAGTAATTTTTTTACTTGTTTTAGCACTCTTAGTCATGTTCTACAATTGTTGCCAAATCATTTTCCAAGAATATCTTTGCTAGCATTCAAGAATAGGAAAAATACTGAACATAAGAAAAGTTCTAAAATTGATTTGTATGTAGGTTCTAATATTTAAGCACATCAACCAAGTAAAACTTTTTTAAAGTTCCTGATGAACTGTAAGACGTTTGGCCATGCTTTGTGATAATTACATACCAGTCTCCAAAGATCTTAAGTTATCC